GACTTGCATAGCTTTTTCATTTTGGACTTACAAAAGCGACCTGTTCAACTACTGAAGCTGTTCCTGAGAAAAGACAAAGAGAAAAAGATAAGAAATCAACTGGTGGAATACGATTTGTTGGGATTAAAGGCCAAGCTTTTTAGAAGTAAACGAAAGGATTACGAAGTGAACTTCAGGGTTATCAGGGTTAAAATATATATATTGTCATTTCTGGTAGCTGTTAATGGAATGACAATGCTTTAAAGATTTGTTTACAACTGGGAAGAGATTTCTTTTGCTTTATCTCTTAGAGAAAGTGATAAATTGGAGCACAAAACGGATTTATTTCATTAAGGTTAATATATATATATATTATTATTTCTGGTAATGGACTTTTGCTGAATGGAACTGAATTATGAGTTTTTTATAATTTGTTTACTGATAAGGGATGAATTGTAAGAAGAAGAGATCTTTTTTATCATAGAAATACTAGAGAAGGTGTTAAGTTACAGGAGTTGTTTATACTTGTCTGGAGGGAGTGGGGAGTCACCTTTATATTTCTTTTCTTTTCTTCCTTTCTTCCTTTCTTCTATTTGCACTTTTTTCTTTTCCTCACTTTCTATCTTTCTCTTAGTTTGTATTACTCTTTTATCTTTGTATTTATAAACTTTAATAAAATTATTACAAAAAACAGAATGACAGAGTAACAACAGATTGAAAGAGGTCAGTCTAAATACCAACACCAAAGAAAGGAGACTTAGCAGAGTACACAAACTGTTGGCAATATCCTTAATTTCACATCCTAGCAAATAATGCTTAGGATCATCCAATGCATATTAGAACCCTACATGGAAAGGGAGATAACAGCCATTTAAGCTAGTTTTAGGAATGACTCGGGAACAAGAGACATTATTGCTGATGCATGCTGGATAATCGAGAAAGCTAAAGAGTACCAAAAAGAAGTCAATATGTGCTTCATTGATTATAAAAAGGCCTTTGATTGTGTTGGCCATGCCAACCTGTGGAATATCTTTAGGAAAATGGGAATCCCAGTACTTCTCAGTACCCTTTTGAGAAAGGAAGCCCCCTGGGAAGGTTGCAAATGGTGATCACATGACCCCAGGATGCTGCAACCCTCATAAATACATGCTGGTTGCCAAGTGCCCAAATTTTGATCACGTAACCATGGGAATGCTGCGATGGTCATAAGTGCAAGGACTAATCATAAGTCCCTTTCTTCAGCACCACTGTAACTTTGAATGGTAGTTAAATGAACAGTTGTAAGTCGAGGACTACATTTACACATTTTCTGCTGAAAGGCCACACTTTAAGAAATATATAGCTATTATAGTTAAAATACAAGCTTGACGTAGCATTATCTGACTGATAAGGCTTGTTGGCCAATGCTATTCTTGGATGCCAATTCCTAAGGCAATAATTCACATACCTTGGTCTCCACTCAGCAATGGCAAATTTGTATCCTGGGAAGAGTGTAGAAGCACAGAGGCTGCTGTTTGTGAATGTTCTGGAGAAGGTTCCTCAGTAGCCACTTTTAATGGACTCTTGGTAGGACTGCAGACACCAGAGCTCTCTTCTGGGCATAGGAACACATCAACAGGGCCCTGAGTACTTTTCACAGCAATCTGGAAAGCCTAAAAGAGATATAGAGAAGGACTTTTGAGGAGACATATAGAAGACCGCATAAACTTTTGTTGTGGAGGTAGCAGTGGTAATCCTCCAGAGTCTTTTTCTATGAAGAACATTTTGGGAACATCATTTTGGGAACATCAACTTTGCAATTTTCAGTAGCTTATCACTTAGGAACTGTATGACCAAAAAACTGACAAAAATCTGATAACTTCTGCCTCTTTTGATTTGTTTCACTGCTTGGGACACCTAACAGTAGATAAGGAAAGGAAAGGAACAGCAGACAAGTCTGCAAGGAAATATTTGAGAAGCCAATGAGTGAAAAGATTTCAATTTTTTATATCTTCTGTTACTGTTTTAATGCTCTGTAGAGAAGATGTATTAATTCAAAACAGAGTAAAATGAGAAAGGAAAAGTTCAATTTGGAGCATTCTTATCTATTTTGTTACAGATGGCTTTAACATGGCCATTGATGAGTTAACAAGACATTGCATCTATCTAGAAGTTAAAGGCTTAGGTGACAAAGGGCTGCAAAGGCCTCTATTCTGTTGATCATCTTTGGCTCTAAGTAGGCAATAACCTATTCGATTAGACTAACCCAAGATGGTAGTCTTAATTGCACATGCAATAGACTCTCCTCACTATGTCAATGGATCTCTTCCCTTAGCTCTCCAATTACATTTGGTAAATTAGGCACAAAACATCGGCTTGGGTGGCTTATCCTAGAAAAGGACAAATGTTTTCTTACAGGACAGCTCAGTAAGTGGATGGGATATGATTCTTAGCCACCATTTAACTTATCCAGGATATAAAACCTTGTGGCAGCTGACTATTGTAAAATGTTGGACAGTGTATGCAGCCCCATAAAATACAGCTAAATTGTATGCAAAGAGGCTGAGATCAATATGCAGCAATCACATATACAGAATCTTGCATTTAAAAGCCAAACTCATCTGATTCTATCATATTGGTGGCAAGACTTCTCAGTCACAACATTGTTTCAAGGTGGACTACACTTGAACTGACTTGCATAAACCTTTCCTACCTAATGAGGAGTGGGGAGGATCAACATAGCAAACAGGATTTGGATTCTGAAAACTAAGTGTGTAAGTATTTCATGAACAGCCCTAAATGGCCACTGTAATTCTTGGAAGCAGAAAGGTTACCTCTGCTGGGTCAGAGACTTGCATCTGTGTCTCTGGGGGGGCTTTGATCACCATTACCAGCTGCTCTGAGGGGTCTGCAATGCTGCGTAGATCTTGGCAAGTCACATAAGCTGAAGTATGGTCAGTCAAGTTTTGTCAGAAGTATCACAGGGTATGTGTCAAGACACAAAACTACAATAGCAATATACAACTGTCAGGCTCAAATCATTACCTGTTGGGAAACAGACATACTGATCTCCAACACTACTCATCCAAGAGCAGCATATGCTTATTCCCACATGGGACATACAGCTTTACCACACAGCAAAAACTTGTAATATTGGGAAGAAGACGACAATTGCCTGAATATAGTCTATATTGGCACCTATCTCTCTCAAATTCCATTCTGTTAATTTCTCTGACCTATCAAGATTGCTTTGAATTTTATTTTTGTCTTCTAGGGTTTAAGGTATCCACTTAATCTGCTGTCATCCACAGATCTGCTGAACAATTGTTCTACCTCTTCATCAAGTTGTTAATAAAAATATTGAAGAGTAAAGACCAAGATCTGAACCCTGTGGCATCCACTTAATATGTCTCCCCAATATGATGTATGATTTTCAAGCCAGCTAGGTATCCATATGTGATTCCATGAAGCCCACATTAAACTAGCTTGCTAATCAGCAATGTAATGAGGTACTTGTCAAATGCTTTACTGAAGTCAAGATATATTATGTCTATATATTCTTACAATCTATTAAGGAACTTATCCAATCAAAAAATGAGGTAACATTAGTGTAGCAAGATGTGCTACAAATCTGTGTTGATTTCTGGTAATTACTAGTAGACAGTAAGGAACATAGCCTTGATGGAGATGATAGAGATGTAAGGTGACAAGGGTCAAAACGTGTTTTGAGTCCAGAGTGTCCAGATAATGTTTGAAAGTGGCTCAGACAGACACCTCCCTAATTCACTGAACTATAAAAAGGGAAGGAGGTACAACACAATTAGACTTGCAAGATTCTATTATTATAGCCAATCTCAATAAAAGTGGGAGAGCCAGTTTGGTGTAGTTGTTAAGGCATCAGGCTAGAAACCAGGAGACTGTGAGTTCTAGTCCTGCCTTAGTCAAGAAGCCAACTAGGTAACTTTGGGCCAGTCTCTCTCAGGCCTAGGAAGGAGGCAATGGCAAATCACTTCTGAAAAACTTTGTCACGAAAACTGCAGGGACTAGTTCAGGCAGTCACCAGAATCAAAAACTGAGTCAAAAACTGACCGAAAGACACGCACCCCCCACCCCCATGAAAGTAGTTTTAGTCTTCCTATGGAGTTGCTTTCTTAGTCTGATCTATCTAGTGGGGCTGACACAACTGCATTATTTTCAAGATGCTTACAGATCAATCTCCTTATGATTTGCTCTAGACTCTAACCCAGTATCCATGTCAAACTAACTGATCTATAGTTCATTGGATCTTCCATTTTCTCCTTTCCAAATATAGATATATTTCCTCTTCTCCAATCACCTGGCAGTCACCATTCTCTAGGATTTCTCAAAGATAACTAAAGCTCCAGGCAGACCAGCTGCTTCCTTCAGTACTTTAGGATGCAATTAATCTGGCCATAAAGATTTAATCTCATTCAAAATAACCATGTTTGTTTGCTTGTTTCTTACTTTTTAGTATTTTTATGCCAGTCTACTTCAAAGCAGCTCAAATCTTAATCATTTCCCTCCACAATTCCTATATAATAAATAATCTCTTCATGACACATACTTTTTGTTGGAAAACAGTTCCTTGTTAACTGTTAATCCTACTCTTCTGGTTTGCAATTCTGAGATCTGTGGAATTCTCCACAAATTTGGAGTGTCAGAAAATTGATTTGAAGAATTCAAAATTATGAGCATACTCATTAATTTAATCCTGGGGAAATGAGTATTGAAGATATTAATCTAACCAATTTCATTAAGTACACTTAAGACATTACCACACATATCTCACATGTGATATGTAGCCTGCAAACCTATTTTACTGGAACACTACTGCAAAAGAAAAAAATGAAACGAAATGTGACAGCTGAAGTTTTCTCTCACATGCATACTTAAGGCTGTTTATCTGCCAGAAAGGGTGGACTGTAGATTTCATTATCAAAAACAGGTTCAGCTACAGAGCTTCCAGGCAAAAATCAACATCTGACTGGTTCACCACCACCCTTCTTTTGCTTTCTTTCTCAGATATACACACACATATACACCTCCACCTCACTGACAATTCAAAGACTTAGCCAACAGCTAGGTAGGGATTTTCCATTAGCTCACAGGGTGTGGAAGTACAAATTGAAGTACCAACACCCAATCCAGGAATGTCAGGAGTGCAGTTGCCTCTTTGGGATATGGTACTTCACTGCTACTGGCTAATGCAGAAGATTTGCTGCTATGAACCTGTTTTGTACTCTGTGATTGGATAAAGCCACCCAATCCCCTTCTATCTTGAAGGATATTGCTTGTTTTCAGGCTCCTCAGTGAGGATCTTGAATTGAGTAGTACACATCTGGATGAGGCTGTCCAGGTGCTGTTCTGCTGCCTGAAGATTCTGGAGTTCCTTCATTAACTCTTGGCTCTTGCTGGTGCCCCCCACAGGAGACCGGCTCCCCCTAGGAAACAAAGTAAGGCAAGATGGAATACGCTATGACCAGTAACTTGGCGAGTCTTAGCATTAAGGTAAACATATAAAAGAAGCAAATTGTATTTTCTGTGCTTCCGTATTGTTGGAATAACACAACAGAGGGCTGATGAATGCTCAATTAGGTAAATTAGATATTTTTTTAAAGGGAAGCTTCGACAAATTACATTGGGTATATCTCCTTGCCCCACAGCATTCTAATCCTATGCCTGCTATGGTATTCCATGTTGTCCCCTATTATCTTTAATATCTATATAAAGCCATTAGGTGAAATCATTCTGAGATTTAGAGCAAGGTATCATCTATATGCAGATGAGACTATGCAGGGACTATTCCAATAATTGGCTGGATGAGGACCAATAAAACTGTGACTGAATCCTAACAAGACAGAGGTGTTGTTGATGGGGAGTTCCAGTTTAAGAATTAGGAAGACAGGTACTTCTAGATAATATTGAACTTCCTCAAAGAAGCAGATGGATTAAGGAGTAACTCCAAGCAATGCATTTTGTAACTGAAGGCTCAAGTGCCATACTAGCTAAAAGCGTCTAATTCTTTCTGCATCAAGTGATCCTTGTTTTAGTAACCTCATGTTTGAATTACTGTAATTCAGTTTTTATGGGACTGCCTTTGAAACCTGTTCGGAAACTAGCAAGTTTAGAATTCAACCACTTGGTAACTGATTGTCATACAAAGTCATAGTCTTATTAGAGACACTATGACTATCCATTTGCTTCCAAGCCTATTTCAGTGCTGACTTGCTGGAGTGTCCCTCAAATATACCAAACTGACCTTTGTAGTGGACCCTGCTTAGAGACCTTTCTGTGAGAAATGCCTAGGAATTATATGCTAATGGAAAAGAATTGATGGGTTATAATTATTTACTCAACTGATCAAATTTCCATATACAGGTAGTCCCTGGGTTAAGAATACCTGGTTTACAGACAACCCATAAGAATGGAGCCTATTGTAGCAAAATTCAAGTTAAATACACAATGGTTTAAGTTAATTATACAATACTACATATACAGTGTTATACAATAATAATGTTCCAGCTTACATACAAATTAAGGACAGACCTTGGGAATGAAACTCGTTCTTAAACTGGGGACTACCTGTACATTGATTGTCTCACTTTTAACTAAATTGAGCACTTGGCAAATATAATTCTTTATCCAATCCTGATTACTGAATCTTTATTCATGATATTTTCACTGGCTTAATATTATTAATGTTATTTCTTCCCTGCAGTAAATTTCTTTCCTGCAGTATTGCTTTAAAGTAAATTCAAAGACAAATGATAAATATCCTTTTGATTAAGTTTTGGCCCATTTGGGGGCTGGACCACATCTGGAATACCACATATTTGGTGTTTTACATTTACTTCCAGAAAATGCACAAATGCACAGAAGTATCCACCAAGGTTATAACAGAGTAACCTTATGCACACATGCAACTCTATGTAATTTTGACTTGGGACAATTCAGAATATCATGTTCTAGTTCTCTTGGCTGAAAACACATAGAGGCACAGACATACACAGAGCCTATAACCCTACTCATAAAATCACATGTAAACCAATACCTGTAAATGGAAACTATAACAACATAATTTGTAGTAAGTCTACAGTATTATAGTTTGTATTCTCTAGTTGGCTTTTGCCAATAATTTCTGTATTATAAATTCACTGAGTCCAGCGTAGAAAGCCTCATCCACACCAACTTCCTTTTCATACAATAGGAAGAAAGACATACTTCAAAGGATAGCCAGACAAGTTTTGTATAGTTAACACATGCAACTTTGTCATTTGTCTAAGGCTGAGAACAATTTAAAAAACAGGACAATCTAATGGGGCTAAACAAACATTTATCATAATCAAAAGTACTAAAAGCTTGGAGACGGACAGATGACATGCTACTCACAGCCACTGAATGTGGTTCTTGGATTTCTTGGTGATGAGCTGGATGCCCTCCAGGACATTTGTGATGTCATAGATACGCCTCTTCTGCACTTTCAGTACTTCAGCAGCCCAGTTGAGATCCACAACACCATCAGGAGATTGACTCAATAGCTCTAAGAAGCGCTTGGTGGTCAGGTTGAGAGATGTTTCATAGCGGGATTTCTCTCCAGGAGACTTTAACCCTGGAGACGAATCAGGGCTTAATTATAACTGGCAAAGCAGCTACAATTCTTAACTAAATTCCAAATCAGAATATCAATTTGCTCAGCTTGCATTATTCATTTGACAAGAAGGCAAGTAATGTTGTCAGGGACAGGTATCCTCTGCCTCAGAGTTTAAGCTGAGTTTTTATCATTCTCTCTGTCTCATCTGTCCTGAAAGGGAGGAAGAAACACCATTTATCTTTCCCACAACTGACCAAGTGTGTTGCCAAGATACATTGTGGGGATATTAAAAATGGATTGTACCACCAAAGTTATTGAACCCAGTTAGATATTTTGGATGGATATGGGGGACTAAAATAGCATTATTTGTCAAACCCAACTGTGAACTGAGATGAAACTTTCACCTACTATAAATTGCAGCATAAATTAAAACAAATACTTCTGTTTCAGGAAAATGAATCTTTTTTTTTAAACGAAAGCTCAGATTTTTAGGGAGTTAAATTCTGAAACCCCAAAAAGCAACTTTGCACAATATATGTCATTTTAGAAAGCCACAAAAGCCATTTCCCTCATGGATTCAAAAACAGACAGCCTGAACACCCCATTGTCCCAGCAGTAGCAGTCATTTCTAAGATTTTCCTGCTTCAGGTTCAGATTACCTCAACAGTTGTATTGAGAATCTGGCATTATTTAGCCACTAGGACAAGGACTCTTGAAATAACTGCACAAATTAAAGCACCAGAATTCCCATCTGCATACTAATACCTTTTATAGGGTTTTTTGCTTTTCCTCGGGCCACCTGCACATTCTCTGCAATGTACTGATGGTCAGTCTCCAAGTTCAGTTTCCGTTTTACCTGGAAAAGAAGTGAGATTTGTAAAGAACTGCACCATTTAAACTCTAGTGAAACAAGAAACAATCCTGTAAAACTAGGAACCTATCTACTGCAGAGGTACACAACTTTTATTGAGTAAGGGCTACACCAGCCTTTAAATGGTATGATGAGAGTCACACTGCAAAAAATATGGGATTAGATAAAATATTCAAAAATGGGTGTTGGGGGAAAATTAATATTATTACATTTAATTAGTTGAATTAACTGTTACATTTTTGACAAACACATTTAAAATAATCCTCATTTCCTCAATTTTAAAATAAGTAAGTGCAAAAAACAGCAACAATTTTGGTTTTCTAGTCTCCAGCTAACAAGCAATACATCTTGTTTGTATGTTCTCTCAGTTTCAGATTGAACTTGACCATAAAACTCTGACCGTAACCCCTCTTCTGCATCAGTGGTTGGAGCATCAACTTGGATAACTGCCATATTAAAGGGTTATCTGTGAAGTTTAACTGATATTATTCAGTCACTTTAATAGCCTCCAGAAGGCCAAGAGAGCGGGGGCCATTCCAGTGGCATATTTAGCACATTTGACACCCAGAGCGACTACCTCCACTCACCAAATTGCACCATGGGACCCTGGAAGTGCTGCTGACTCCATCTCTGTCACTGCACCACACCACTGACTGCAAAACAGCAGACCAGCCCTCCAGCAGCAGTGCCCCACCCATATACCACCTGCCAACCTCTGGATAACCTCCTCTTTTAGCACCCCTTTATTGTCTCCATTTGGGGCCATTCCAGTGGCATATTTAGCACATTTGACACCCAGAGCGACTACCTCCACTCACCAAATTGCACCATGGGACCCTGGAAGTGCTGCTGACTCCATCTCTGTCACTGCACCACACCACTGACTGCCAAACAGCTGACCAGCACACCAGCAGCAGTGACCCAACTCTATACCAGCTGCCAACCTCTGGATAACCTCCTCTTTTAGCACCCCTTTATTGTCTCCATTTGGGACAGATAATTTCTATCACCCCAACCTAGTATGCCACTGGGTCATTCTCATCTTAGGGGGAAGGATGTTCCATAGGAGGGGAGCTGCCACCAAGAATATCTATCATCAAACCACCTCCCAAACACATTCTGGAAAGTGGGTACTCTTGGTAGGCAGTCTTGTAGCCATCCAGGTCAGATGGGCAGAATCTATATAGGAAAGTCAATCACTTAGATAATGAGGGTGGAAGGCAGTTGGGCTTTAAAGGTAGTAACCAACATTTTGAATTGCACTTGGAAACAAACCAGCAATGAGTGCTGCAGGACCGTGACTGGCCAGGAAACAAGAGGGCCACTGCATTCTGGGGTGGTTAAAGTTTCTAGGTGGTCTTGAAATGTAGCCCTATGTAGAGCAAACTACAGTAATCTGGAAATGATATGGGTGTAACTGTCCTTAGGACATTCTGTCCAAATTAAGATTGCAATTGGCATACCAGCTGAAGCTGGGCAAAGACTCTCCTGGTCAGGGCTTCTACCTGCTTCTTGAGCAGGAGCCAGGACCCCAGGAGGACTCCCAGATTGTGAACCAGCTCTTTCTGTGGAAGCACAACTGCATCAGGAGTTGAAGATGATTCAATCCTGAAATCAGAAGGCTTGGATGAATAAACAGCTACTCTTTCTTGCTTGAGTTGAATCTGAGCCTGTTTTTCCCCATCTAGACCCTGTCAGCCTCCAGGCATTGGGTTGGACATCTACCTCATCTCCCATGGGGGTCTAGGTGTGGATATTCAGCATATTAATATGCCACCCCAAACTAACAGTTGATCTCTCACAGCAGTGTCATTCGTTCGTTCGTTCATTCATTCATTCATTCATCATATTTGTATAGCCGCCCATCTCACAAGACAGTAATTCTGGGTGGTGTACAACACTCAATTAAAAAACCAATAAATGCATATAAAACGATCATTAAAACTATAAAAACTATAAAAAACACACAGAACAGGAGAGGATGATATTAACTGTAGTAAGGGAGCCCTCACAAAATCTCCCTGGCCCCCTGGGATCCGCAGGCCTGGTCACATAGCCAGGTCTTAAGGGACTTGCAGAATGTTAAGAGGGACAGGCTAACCTCACTTCTGGGGAGAGAAGATTCCACAAGGGAGGTGTTATGGCAGAGAAGGCTTGCCTCCTGGGACCTACCAAATGTAATTCCCTGACAGGTGGGACCCGCAGCATGCCTCCTCTTCCAGACCTGATGGGACGGGAAGATGTAATCAGGGAGAGGGGGTCCCTCATATTACCCAGCCCCATGCCATGAAAGACTTTAAAGGTCAAAACCAGCACCTTGAATTGGACCCAGAAGCAAACTGGCAACCAGTGCAGCTCACAGAGCAGAGGCGTAACATCTACCCTTCTAGGAGCACATATAACTGCCCATGCCACTGCATTTTGCACAAGCTGAAGTTTCCAGATACTCTTCAAGGGCAGTCCCATGTACAGTGTATTACAGAAGTCCAAATGGGAGGTGACTAGGGTATCAGTGACAATGAGCAGAGCCCCCCTGATCCAGGAATGGGCGCAACTGGCACACAAGCTCAAGCTGTGCAAAGATCCTCCTAGCCACAACTGCCACCTGCTCTTTGAGTAGGAGTCGTGAATCCAGGAAGACCCCCAGATTGCACATTAGTTCTGTGGCAGTGCCACCCTATCCAACACCAAAGATGGCATACTCCTAGAACCAGAAGATCCCAAAACCCAAAGCCACTCAGTCTTGCCAGGGTTCAGCTGAAGCCTGTTGCTCCCCATCCAGAACCTCACAGCCTCCAGGCATTGGGATAAGACATTCACAGCATCACTTAATTCACCAGGGGCAGAGATGTATAATTGGATATCATCAGCATACTGATGTTACCTCACCCCATGGTGACAGAGGAGCTCATCCAGCGGCCTCATGTAGATGTTAAATAGGAGAGGGGAGAGTACCAAACCCTGCAGCACCCCACATAGTAGGGCCGAGGGCAGGCTCTCTCCTCCCTGACTACCTGGAATCGGGGACTGGAATCAGCCCTGGAGAAAGGAGGTGAACCAGCACAACAGTGTGCCGCCCACCCCCAACCCTTGAGCCGATCCAAAAGGCTACCATGGTCAGTGGTATCAAAAGCCACAGAGAGGTTGAGTAGGGCAAGGATGGATGCACAGACCCCATCCCACCCTCACCAGAGATCCCCCAAAAGCATGACCAATGCTGTTTCAGTCCCATACCCAGGCCTGAATTCCAACTGAAAGGGATCCAGATAATCCGCTTCATCCAAGGTCCTCTGAAGCTGCTGTGCAACCACCTTCCCCAAAAAGGGGAGGTTAGATACTGGACAAAAATCGTCCAGTATAGTGGGGTCCAGCGATGGCGTCTTGAGGAGGGGGCGAACCAAAGCCTCCTTTAGAGGTGAAGGAACAACCCACTCACTCAAGGAAGCATTAACCACCGCTGGAACCCTCTCACACAACATTCCCCAGGCCACTTTAATCAGCCAGGAGGGGCATGGATTTAAATAGCAGGTGGGTAAGCTCACAGCCCTAAGGACCCTGTCCACTTCCTCATGTCCAACAGGTTCAAACCATTCCCAGATAAATTCATACAGATATTAAACAGGATGGGGAAAGGACTGAGGGCCTAAACCATTCCTCCATTACCACCACCAACTGAAACAGTCAGCGCAGATAGGAGTAGAATCAACACAGTCTTGAGCTCCCAACTCCTAATCCTGCTTTAGAAGGATACTATGGTCAGTTAGTTTCCAAAGCTGCTGAAAAGTCAAGGAGGACAAGGATGGTCACACTCCCTTCTTCCACATGAGAGCAACCAATAGTTTCTGTCCTATGTTCATATCTGAAGCCAAATTGCTATGGGTCCAAATAAACCATTTTCTCCCAAGCCCTCTGTAATTGCAGTCCCAGTACCTTTTTGATAACGTGGCTCAAGAGGGAGAGGTTGGAGACTGGATGGCAGTTATTCATATCAGTTGGATACAGGCCTGATTTCTTGAGAAGTGGGCAGTGCCTGTTTCAAGGCTGCTGGGCCTTTCACTTTTTGTTTAGCTCAGGAATCCCCTTTGGGTGGTTTTAATGAGGTAAAAAGGTTGAATCTATGTTATATGCTGCTGAAAGAGGACTGAAGATCCAAGATAAAATGAAGTGACAAAACTAATACCTAGGCATCACATTAAGCCATAATGTGATTTGATTTGGCTTAGTGTATTGTATGAACCCAATCACTGTGGTTTGTAAAACATAGTTTCTGACTTATTGCAAGGCATTAGCTCAACTAATTGAAGTTTATTCAATGAAAATAATAGCTTATGATGCAGTCATCTTATTCTTTCCTGTTAAGTCTTCAGGCATTTAGTTTCCATAATTACAATATTGTTGCAAGATACTTATTATGTTTTCCTAAGATAATTACAAGAAATTACTAGTTAACATAATTAGAAATGGATAATATTTAATAGATATGTACCATAATGGGGGGAAAAAAAAAGAAATCCTTGATCCACGTAGTAGAAGCAGGTAGAAGGCAGACCCAAGACAAGGACAATTCAGGAAAGTAGCAAATTGTTGATAACCTGGTATATTAGAAATGGAATGAGAGTTTGATGCCTTTAGGCACAAATTATCACTTCATACTTCCAAATTATCTTATGTTTATCTTGTTTATGTAATTTCCCACTCTGGTCTCTTCAAATAGGCTTTCTTCTGAATCACTGAACTATGTAAGTACATTGTAAGCCAGTATTCACAATAACCAGAACACATGGCCAGCAAAGCAATCATCAGCTGGAGATACTGTTCTCTGAAGACACCTTTGCTTCTATAGGAAGGCAAATCTCTCTCTCTCACACATTCACTCACTGTGTAGAACAAGTATGGAGATTTAACAAGCACAGCCAGACAATAAGATGTTCTAAAAGATTATTATGATTGAAACGCAGTACAGATTCTGTTATAGACATTTTGTA